AATGAACAAAACTTGGAAGAAAAAAATAACATGAATGACGATAAATTGACGATTTTGTATTAGATCAACCTGCAACATCAATGTTAACATACAACATCAACATACAACATCAACATACAACATACAACATCAACATACAACATCAACATACAACATCACCACACAACATCAACTTGCAACATACAACATAACAACATCAACATACAACATCAACATACAACATCAACATACAACATCACCACACAACATCAACCTGCAATATACAACATCAACATCAACATAACAACATCAACATACAACATCAACATACAACACCAACATACATCAACCTAAAATTCTGAGAAAATTTTGATAAATTTGAAAATGTTTGAAAGAAAAAATATCATCCTACTGTCTGAATGGTCTTCGCTTACGTTGGCATAAGCAAGGCCGACGTGGTACGCTGTGTCAGCCACTTGCAAACTTTTTATGTTGAAACTGAATAATTGATTTTTTTTTCTGCTACGAGTTTTTCTTCTTTTTAATTGTTTTTCAATGATACTAAAGATATCAACACACATACACCACATACACCACACACACACACCACACACACACGCAGCGTATGTTGTTAACACGTGTGAATCAACGTATCACGCACAATGAATGCGATATGTGGTGGATCTATTTGAATTCGAATCCAGTCAATGCAACATCACGAACAGGCGCCTTATGCTTTATACAATTTTTCCGATCAAATGTTCCTATTGAGTATTAGTAATAAGAGCTTACCCTTCAAATTTAACGTTTATAATTGCATGGTAGCAGTCACAATGATGATAAACGGCTAAGATGACTTGAAAATGACTGAATATTCTTCTACTAATTAACTAGGCAAATATTATTATATATGGTGTATATGAGTGTGTGTTTGTGTGTAACAGCTTGTTCTGTGTGTTCTGTGTGTTCTCTCTCTCTCTCTTTCTCTCTGTGTGTGTGTGTGTGTGTAAGGGTTGTTGTCACACTTAAATATTACCAGCGGTATTTTTGCCGCAAATTCAAAAAGAAATGGTGGTCACTTGTGGCCGGCGACAGCATGCGCCTTTAAAAAATATTCAATGGCTCGTTCGTGGTTCACAGAGGAGTTTCGAGTCTGTTCGACCTTGCAAAGTTTAACAAAAAAAGATTTGAATTGTTACATGTGTGATTGTTTCGGAACATCAGGAATCAAAACAAGCGTGAAGATTGAATTCTTAGAAACAAAAATTTACAGCACAAAATTCGAACAAAAAGATTTATTTATAATTTTAATTTGTTTGCAAAAATATGTTTAAATAAACGTAAAACTCTTACTTTTCCAAGATTCTGGTAGATAGATATTAATTTCACAGAATGTTCGCCGTTCTTGGCGATTTCCCTCTCAGCAGCCTTCCCGTAAAACTTCAAAGACATGTCAGGTTTGCCGAATTTGTGGTACAATCTAATGTATGAAAAAAATCTGGGCTGATGTCAAGAACATGAAGAATAAATTTCAACTATTTATTTGTTTAAGATTGTCGTGGTATTATTCGCTGGTCTTGAACAGCCAGAATTATGAATAAATAGCAGAAACGTATTACGGCAGATTTTGTCACCTAGCCAGAGCGATAATGAGATTGGATTCGCAGTCGCCCATCTTCTGCTTGTTTTTGATCACATTTGTCAGAATGTTTTTGGCTTTCAACAGCGAGTCTTCAGCTTCACTGTACGTTTGGAGATAATTCCTCGTTAGGGATTGATCAGATAAAATAAATAATTTCGATGTTCGAACAGGTTGTAAAGTTTCAATGGTATGTATTTAATTTAATGGCAATATTAATTGATAATTTTATTTTAATAGCGATTAGTAGAAGGATATTTTTTTGTTGACGTCAGGGCCAGACCGCTGGTGTAGTAGAGGTTGAAAAGAAATTTGTGGAAATCCGGAGACTTCAGCGTGCTCTCCTCCTTGATGTCATACTGACGTATGTTGGCTAGGAAGAGATGTGCCACGCTGCAGTGCTGCAGAGCTTGAGCTGAGTAACCTGATTGTTTCGAAAATCATTCGTTTCGTATTTTACTTAAAATATTTTATTGTATAAACATCTATTTATACTTCGCTTATGTAACTTATATACTACTTATTAATACTTGCGCTGGGCACAGTAAACTCTGATAAAGGCATCTATTTTGTACTCTGAAGCTAATAGACCACCACTATTTCTGAAGTTTGCAGTTGAGCTATTTAATATTTCACACAACGACACAGTCTACGCAAACAGATAAAATAGATCATTACAGACTTAAATGCATGATGGGAGAGAATCTTCTCGAAATTAAACCGGATCAGACTTTGTAGCCATCAAGCCTTCAGCAATTTTCAATGATTTGATTATATCACTAGATTTTTCATTGTTAATAGGTCAGTTTTTATTCACGGTTTTTATTCACGAACGTTAATAACCTTTGAGCTCTTGATAGGCGAAAGCGAGAAGGACGCGATAATTGTACAGTCTCCAGTCAGATTGCTCGTAAATGATACTTGCCAGTGCCAAACACTTGATGTACTCTTTGATTGCCGCGTCCAACTAAATTGCGTTTAATTATGAACATTTTCAACTCTGCAGTATCAGTTAACTAGATTGAAAAGTTTATTTAGTAAAATATTTGAAATATCAATAAATAAATTTACACGAATTCTAATTTAGTTCATTAATAATTTGCATCAGTGAGAGTAACACTAATTGAGCATAGTAATGCAAACCAGGTAGTGTTAATTCGGCTAAGTGTACAATACCGACCATTTTTTTATTCTTGTATTTTATTGCTAATTTTTCTTTCCTGATGATTAGCTTCTCGGGCTCCATTGACTGGTCATCGTTTGCGTCATCGTCGGCGCTGCCATCAGCTTCAACTCCATCGAATATTTCACTGTCGTCATTAGCAACGTCATCGTCATTCAACGATCTACTGGTAAGTTTTTTGTAATTTAAAAAAATTAACTTTTACTTATTATAAATAAATTATATAACGGTAAGGTTTTTGTAATTAAAAAAATTAACTTTTACTTATTATTAATAAATCATATAACGGTAACGCAACTTAAAATTTTGACTTTGTTTCTAAAGTTTGCTGCAAATTTTGAGATTCTGAATTAAAAAAAAATTAAACGCAGGCTAATGATTGCTTTATTTGATCGTGTAAATCAGTGAGCTACTAAAACTTCTAAATTTTTTTAAATCAAATGCAGTTTGGGAATAACAACCTTCAAAACAATTCTATTTCTCTCGAACAAAAACCTAATGGGGAATGGAAATTTTTAAGCTAACATACGTTGAAACCTGGAGAATGTGGCCACCGTTTGCCGCATCGTGATGTTCCTTGTCCTCATTTATTTCCGGCAGACGTGCATCTGTTTCCTCTTCCTCCTCACTGAGGCTAGTGACATCAAGATTATCACCCACACTTGCAACGTCTTCATTCATGTGTGACGATCCTTCTGAAATACCCGTAAACGATGAATCGTCATTGTATTCATCATCGTCGTCGTCGTCATCATCACTTTTTTCATTTTTTATAGATGGCGTTTTGTTTGGCATTTAGATTTTTATTTAAAAATACAAACCATTTTAAACTTTATTCAAATGAAAGGAAGACAATCACCAATACAAAAAAATTAGCTACCTGATGATTGGAAAAGCAGGTATCCGAGTCGTTGCTATGGCAACAGGGATGTGACACGTTCTTCATTTAATAAGAAAATAATTTTTATTATAAGTAGCTAACTGTACTGTACATGCTTGATACATTTGTAAACAATTAATAAATTTGAATACATTAACATAAACAACCCTCCCTCCTTAATGTAGTGGATGTCCATCCCTGACCGCCCCTGCCAAATTTGTTTACATCACGTTTGGATATTCTAAATATTTCTTCTACAGGAAAGAAATCAAAAAAAATTAAAATTGTCAAAAGCGTGGTGGCAAGGCAAAAAGATCACTGAATAAGTTAGCCGCAAGCCAATGAAAACGCCGAAGAAGTTAGGCAAACTTCTATGCAACAAGTCCTTTTATTAGAAAAAAGACAGAGACAATTAATTTCACAAGTCTTTCAAGTGCTTGGCGTGTGTAATGTAATGCAATTTACAAAATGCTAAAATAAAAATAACAGTTTGAAGGGTGGCCACTAATTATATTTAATTATGTTAGTAATCAGTAATTTTAAACAAAAAAGCCAATAATACTTATTATTTATTGTGTGGCGATAAATTATTATTAATACTAATATAATATTATATTATTATATTATAATATTATTTTATAGTATAATATGATTATATTACAATTGCAAATATTAACAATTCAAAAGTGAGAAACTGATCGTATGTAGTTGACAATCACGGACAATCTTACGTAGGTCATTGCTATGTCGGTAGGCTAGTCTGGTACGAAGTTGTTGACGGTAATGGTGAACCAATGGTATTTGGTGAAAATCAACAAACAAAAAAACAACAACAACAATAATAATAATTGTAATGATAATTTTATCGTCATTAAATCAATCAATCCTCTGTAGACTTTGATTTTGAGGTCTTACCGAGTGAAGCGCTAGACAAATACCGATACAGAATAACAATAATAATAATATATAATAATAAAAAATAATAATAACAGTAGAGCAACCTATTTTTTTAGATAAAAATAATATCAGAAGAATCATAATGTCGATATTACAACAAGAAGAATGATAATAACAACACCAACAATGTAAAAACAACAATATCAACAACAATAATAATAATAATAAAATCTTTTGAAGAGGGTTATACATGAGAGGTGCTATACATATCGTGAAATACAAACAGCAATAATAATATAATATAACACGATATAATAATAAAATATCAATAGTAATTATTATTTTTATAAATAATTATTATAAATAATAGCGATAATTAATAATTAAAACATCCAAATTGTGTCACAAAGTCTAAATCATAATTTTTACTTAATCTCAATCATTTAATCAATGCAGTTATTAATGCTTGCTATACACCTGGCGCTATACAAATTTAATCGATCGATTGAATGATTGATTGAATGATTGTAAGATTGTTTAATCTAATGGTCGATTGAGTTTGTTGATTGATCAATTAATAAAACGATTGATTGGTTGATCAAACAATTGATTAATCTAATGGTCGATTGAGTTTGTTGATTGATTGATTGATAGATACAAATGATTGATTGAATGGTTTAATGACCAGTTGAATGATTGTTATAAGACTATAAGTGTTATAATATAAGACTCGTTATACAAGGTAGAAACCAGATTGATTAATCAACGATGATGAGGATTAAATGATTTAGTATAACTACTGCTGCTACTATTACAACTATTACTGCTACCACAATTGATACTATTACTATACTACTACTACTACTACTACTGCTACTACAACTATTAATATTACTATACTAATGCAGCAGTTATTACTAATACTAATAATAAATAATGAAACCTGGACGATATATAGCAGAATAAAGTTATAAAGAATAAGTCTTCAAATAATCTGTGAAACACAAAAAAGTAATCAACCGTAAGAAACATTGAAGTAGAAGAAGTATAAAAATAAATATACAGAAATGAATATACATAAAATAAATATAATAAAACACAAATTACCGTTAATTAACTAATTAATCAAACAATTAATTGTCAATCAATCAATCAATTAATTAATTAATTAATATAAATAACTAACGAATGAAAATACAACAATCATTAGCAATAATGATAATAAATGAATCGATCATTGAATCAAAATAACTTGGTCCAAATCGATAGTAAGTGGCACAAAAGATAGAAGCAAGGTTCTCGGATAGTTTATATCAAAGAGTATTACAAACTTACAAGTAATATACACATACGCACGCACAAACACACACGCGCGCATGCACACATGGTATATTTATAAACATATATTAAATATTAAATTACCAGAAAAAAAATGCAATGGCCAATATAATGACATGAAGTGAAAAAAAAAGTTAAGGCGTATGAGAGAGAGAGAGAGAGAGAAAGAGACAGATAGGTGGATAAGTTGATAATGAATTAATGAATGGATGGAATAAGAAAATAACACACTTTTTTTAAAATAGAAAATGAAGATTTATATATTTAAAAATTTTTATTAGGCAAAGAAAAAAAATAGAATCAAATTGCAAAAAAAAAATAAAGAACGTTTTTACAAAAGTAAAAAAAAACAGAAAACGAAACAGAGAAAAAATAAATGTCTGTACATTTTGAATGAAGCATCACAGATTAAGCGCTCGCTCGCGCAGCGCACACACACCACACACACACACACACACCACACACACACACACACACACACACCACACACACACACACACACATATTATATCGAATAATTAGGTGTTGCCAAAACAGTTTTGTTATAATTCACAGCTCATTCATGTAATAGTCATCAAACCAACCACCGCCCCATTACTTACAATCATGTATAATACTTTTAATCTTCTTCAATGTAAGAATTGAACAAGTCTGATTAGTATTCTCTGCCAGATATATAATAATTACAATTACATTACATTATATTAATATTACAGAAAAATTATTGCGTAAGAGCTTCGTCACGTGATCAAACGCGCGTCTCGAAGATAATGGCGGGAGTCGACCTTATAGAACTCAAGGACATGAGGTTCTTTGACGATTCATCTTTGCCCTTTGACCTGTGAAATAATAAATATCTCTGTGTATATACATATACGTAAATATTAGCATATTTAGCGTATGCAAATAGCAAGCAGAACTTAATTGAAAGAACTGCCGACCACCCACCGACCCACCTATCTTTAGCGTTCAAGACCAATGTAGCAGCGCCAGCGGCGTTGTTGCTCTCTTTCATTTGATTCCTGAATCTTTTGTGGCCCTTCAGTTTCTCGTAGTTGTTCTTCAAGACCTGCACGTACACTGAGTACCTGGATTGCTGGGAAACAATGTACAAACACTCCCATATGGACAAAAACTTGCGAACGGGTGTGTACAACATATGCACAATGCTCAAAATGTACAAACAGGTTGGTATATGTGAGTATAAAATGTACGAGCAATTACATTAACGTATAATATGTGCAGGACAGATTTGCAAAAGGTTCGAATGCATGTTACAAATAATATTCTGCTAGTGTTGAGTAGCTACTCGAACTAGCACTGAAGATTGAAGTTACTGAAAACTCATCACCATGAATTCATTGCTCTCAACAATGACTATTTATTCTTATATATATATATTTTGAGATGGAAGGTCGATGTGTTAGCTCAGACGGTAGAGATGCCTGCAATTTCGCACTGCTATCGTGCACTGATATGGTTTGAATGTTGATTCGGCGAAAAGTAAAACTGTAAATTACAAGGTAGGTTGTAAATTTCATAACAAATGAACCACCTCGAATTTCAAATAGCTTCCCCTTTCATAATAATCTCGCACATCCCTATTTTTGGCCCCTTTGTCAGGCGGGTAGGTTTCATGCTCGACGAGATCCTGTTCGAATTTCTTCAAACTGGAAATGTGTTGGTTCAACTGCTCGTGCTGTAAATAATTGTGACGTGACGATGACGTCAATTATGACGTCGATGATGGTGGTTTCCTTGGCGGAGATAACGTCAACAATGGAGTTGGTGATTGATGATGAAATCTATGCAAAGTTAATAATAATGGGGATGATGGCGTTGTTTATATTAATGATGCTACTGATAATGTAGCGCTATAATTAAAAATGAATGATGATGAGGAGGAAGACGGCAGAAGGAATTTGTAACACTGAACGCAAATAAAAAATAAAATTCTTCAATCCCAGAACAAAAAAAAACTGACCAAGGAAAGTTTGGTGAGTGAGGCAGGAAGAAGGGGCCTCTGGAACTTGACCATGGAGCCAACTGCACCAGGGAGGGGTGGGGCAGAGAAACAGGAAGATGATAAATTGATGGCATCGATCCACTGCTGGCACTCAACATCATCACTGTCAAGTGTTGTTGTTGTTATTGTTGTATGTTACGTGTTGCTGTTGTTGTGTTACGTGTTGTTGTAGTGTTACAGGTTGTTGTTGAGTGTTACATGTTGTTGTTGAGTGTTACATGTTGTTGTTGAGTGTTACATGTTGTTGTTGAGTGTTACATGTTGTTGTTAAGTGTTACATGTTGTTGTAGTGTTACATGTTGTTGAGTGTTACATGTTGTTGTTGTAGTGTTACATGTTGTTGCTGTAGTGTTACATGTTGTTGTTGAGTGTTACATGTTGTTGTTGTATATTACATGTTGTTGCACGTTACATGTTGTTAGGTTGGATGAAAAAATGAAAATGTTTGTGTAAGTGTTACAAAACGGACTGTATGAACAAAAATGATTAAGGTCCAATTTTGAACTTCGAACTTCTGAACATCTGAAACAAAAACATCGCAAACACAGCGATCGTTGAAGTACGTCAACAAATCAAAGTGAGGGATACCAAGAAAGAACAAAATGGCCAAACTTAAAAGAAGCAGCCCTCAAACGACCTAACTAGCATGATAGAAAATTTAAAATTCAATATTTTCAAATAAATCATGAATGAATCTTCATCTGAATATCTTTTTAAACTTGTTATAAAAATCGCATCATTAGAGAAAAAACTGAATCTTAAAACATCAATCAAAAAAATTGAGCCAGTCAGATAAATAGTTCGAAAGATGGGATCATTTAAGATACAATTTGTGAATAAAAATAAATATAAAATTATTTTTTATAACTTCACGCTTTTCAAAACGACATCACATATCTAACTTTGTAAATTCAACATTCTTTCAACACATATACAGAGAAGCAGCAGAGAAAGAGACAGATAGAGAAAGAGAGAGAGAGATAGAGAGAGAAAAAGAGAGAAAAAACACACACAGACAAACACATACACACACACACACACACACACACACACACACACACACACACACACACACACACACATACTTTGTTCTGATGAGGTAGAGTGACCAG